GCGGCGCGGTGCCGCTGCTGCTGCTCGAGGGCGGCGGCTCGTGGGCGGAGCTGCAGCCCGGGAGGGGGATCACTCTCGCTTGGTGGGTCTCGCGCGCCGCTACTCTCAGCCTCGCCGCCGGCGCCACCGCCGCGCCGCCGCTGCTACACGCGCTGGTGAGGCGGACACACACTCGCCCTACCGATCGCAAGCGCCGCCGCGATGCCCGCCCTCGTCTGCCCGCCCTCGTCCGCTCCCGCAGGTGCCCCTCATCGTCGGCGCACGCGCCGTCCCGCGCGTGTACGGCGTGCTCGAGTCGTGCTACATCGCAGGCCTCACTGTGTCCGGCCTGCTGATGGGCGCGGCGCGGCAGTGGGCAGGCGGGTACCGAGGCGCCCTCTGGCTGCTCGCGCTCGTCCTCCTCCTCTCTGTCGCCGTCTGCGCCGCGCTGCGCCGCATCGTCCGCCTGCAGCAAGCCGCCGCCGAGCGAGAAGGCGCGCGCCGCCACCCGCTCCGGCAAGGCGGCCGCGACCTCGAGTTGCCGGAGCGGACATCAGAGCGGACCGCCTCGCTCGACGACACGCGCCGCGCGCTCCACGTGGCCTTGCTGCCGCCGTCGCCGACGCGCGAGCTCTGGCAGTCTGCGGGCCGCCGCGCCTCCTCCCTCGACTCGCCCTCCCGCCGCGCAGCCTCGATGGAGGCGCGCGCTCTCATCGGCCGGTCGCAGTCCATGCTCGCCGCATAAGAGGTGTCCGCCGCACACACGCCCTCGCGTGTCGAGGGCCGTGGGCGAAGAGGCACGGCGCGATACTAGTACTACTCCCCCCCCCGTTCTCAGCAGTCCGCGTCACCCCGTCAGAGAGTACTACTCCCTCTCCAATACCAGTGCATGCCCATGTGCGATTACCCACTTGGTCCTTTCACTAGACTTGACACTTGTTCCTGTCCGGTCCTTTTTCCTGTAATGTGCAAAGCTGTAACTTACCCGGCGTAACTTCAAAGAGAGTTTCCTAGTTCGCGTTCGACCTTCGAGTCGTTGAGACCCCAGCTCTCGAGTCAACAGGGCGCCGCGTCCCGTTTTGATCTCTCGGTGAGTGGGGGGCCGAGCCGCCTCGGGGTGGCGGGCGGGCGGGCGTTTTGAAAAACAGAAAACAGAAAACAAGCGGGGGCCTGGGGCCCCAGCGCAGGCCCCCCACCGGGAGTAGAAAATACGCCCAAGGGGGCCAAGGAGGCGGGCGCGGGGGGAAGCAGCATCAGGTGAGAGCAGGAAGGATGGCGCTTAGTTAGGGTCAGCTTTGAACAAGGGTTTTTCCAGGGGTTTTAGATCAGTATTGGTGTCGGCACACATCCCCACATATGAGGTCAGCGGCGCGCAGTGCCTCTCTCGCAGGCTGATTTTGTGGCTGTTTTCGACCTTGTTTTTGTTTTCAGACTAGGGGGGCCGACCCCCTCAGAGGCGGCGGGCGGGCGCCCACTCACCGAGAGATCAAAACGGGACGGCCCAGCTCGAGCGGACCGGACGACCCGCGACCGCGACCCGGAGGGGGAGCGGGAGGCGGAGCCGGACGACCGGTTCACCCGCGGCCGCGCGCGAGACCGTGAACCGACCTCCGGTTTTGTGTGTTGTATCCGTGAGGAAGTTTTCGTTTTTCGAGCGCGCCGCTCCTGAATTGTGTATTTATTGTGTCTGTTCCTCGAGCTGAGTTTTCGAGCGTCGAGACCGCAGGGGGGAGGAGGGCTGGAGGGGGCCGCCAAGTTTCTCCGCACGCCGCCCTCCCCCTCGCCGCCGCCCTCACCTCCTCCGCCGTCCCCACCGCTACCCTCGCGCCGCCGGGAGGCCGCCGCCGCCCTCGCCGCGAGAGGGAGGGAGACCTCGCCGAGGAGCTCCGAGTCCTCGAGGCCGCGTTGAGCACGTTCATGGCGATCGTCGTCGACTCGTAGTTGGAGATCCACGAGTCGGGGGAAAAGGTGAGGTAGTATTCTCTCCCAGTGCGGTTGTATTCGTGCATAAACAGATGCTCCACCTCTCCCGGGGTGACGCCTTGCGTGTAATAGGTCTTTCTTGAAGGTCGCCTCGAGTTTGTACGTGAACGGGTCCTGTTGGCGGAGGGCCCGGGGGTGACAGGACGAGATGCGAGGGAGGGGGAGGGAGCGCGCAAGCGTGAGTCAGGGCGAGAGGGAGAGCGCGCCATGATGGTGTAGACGAGAAAATAGCACTGGTACCAGAGCGCAGTCTGTATGCAAGTTTTCGTTTGGCCTTTCCCTTCCCGGGAGGAAGCCGGTGACGCCCGCGAAGGGCAGGCAGGCCAGCTTGTCAAACAATGGGTAACGCCAAGCGTAGAATTCATCGGTTCCCGGGGCCTGGCCCTGCCTCGTGGCCTCGTAGTGCTTGTAGATGGTGCTGCGCCACAGAGCCCACCGGATTCCGCAGTAGAGAGCCGCTGCGAGCCGTATGCCAAATCGAGTCCAGCAAGTACTCGGGGTCGCAATGGTACGTCGACGTCACGGCCAAAATGAGCCCACCGAGCCCCACGATGGCAAAGGTGGTGACGGGGAAGGAGATGAGCGCGTCAATGTCCGCCGTGGTCGTGCGCTGCAGGAACGCGACGTATTCTTGATCCTCCTCACGAATAGGAAGTAGATGACGGCGAGCGAGAAGAAGTAGAAGAACGCCTTCTACTTGAGGACAAAGTGGATCCGCTCAAAGACGTGGAGAATCACTGCGCCGTCTGAGGGCCAGCGAGTCGGGCACATGCTGAGGTAGAAAGGGACACTTGAGCCTTCATTCTCCGCAGCAGCGCCCGAGAGCCTTCAAGCCTTCTGTGTGCGTCATCCACGCCCCTTTCCGCATCTGCACATTCATATTTGCAGTAGCGTCGCGATAAGCCCTCACGACGTCCCATCCCGGTCCGGTAGAACCGCCCACATCAAAGGCGCCGCACTGATTGGCGACCCAGATGGTGAAGGCCAGGCAGCCGAGGACCATGATCTCGGTTTGGAAGCGCACCCAGATTTTCAGGTAGGTTTTGGCAGGGCGGAGAGCGTAGCTGGCTTTTTCTGTGTCGCGATGCACGTGCGCAGCGCGCTGCAAATAATGGGTCAGCTTGTGCAGAAGGAGGTCGTACACGATGCCCGTCGCGACAATAATCACGAAGGCCCAGTGAGACAGCGCAAAGCTGTCGGTCTGGTTGCCCCAGACGGGATCACTGCCCATGCTCTCGAATGCTCGCCTGTTTGCAGATTTCGAAAACGACGGGATGCTTTTTCTTCTTTTTCCGTTTCGCACCAGGCTCCCTCGGCCACCAACTGCCATGCCACCACCCGCCAAGTCGCCCGCCGCCGAAGCGCGTGCCGTCGTCGCCGCCTCTCTGTCGGCGACGAGTCAGCTCTCCGCGGCCGTGTCGAAGCTCGACGCGAAGGCCTGTAAGGCCTTCGTCTCCGACCCCTGCGGCCTCCGGCTCCTCACCGCTCAGCTTCACGCAGGCGGCAAGTCGCAGGCGGCAAGCGACGCTGCATGCGCCCTGTGGCACCTGCAAGACACGTGCGCAGAGCTCGATTACGACATCGGTGATGAGATCGCTGAGGTTGGCGCAATCGAGCCTCTCGTGCACATGCTGTCCGCCGCCTCCGACTCCGCCGCCGCCGAGAACGCGGGGGCTGTGCTCAACCGCCTGACCGTCTACCGGAGTGGCGAGGACGTCGGCACGCTGCGCGGCTGCGGTGCGCTCCAGGCGCTGCTCGGCCTGCTGCGCCGTGGCGTCCGGCTGCTCAAGCGAGGGTCCGAGGCGAGGGCGGTGACGGAGGCGGTTGGCACCCTCGCCAATCTGATCGAAACCTCATCCATGCGCGAGGCGGTCTCCGATCCGGAGGAGGGGGCGGTCACCGAAGCGGAGGCGACCGGATTCGTCAAAGACGTCGTCGACCTGCTTCGGCACGGCAGAAACTGGGCGGTCTTGCACTCGCTGAAAGCGCTCTACTACCTGACCACTTTCGACGCACGCTTCACCGACCGTACGCTGCGAGCGGTGGTGGAGGCCGGGGCGATCGACGCGATCCTCAACCTGTTGCGCAATTGGGATTGTTCGGACAGTGAGGACTGGGGCGAGTTCTGGCAGCTGCACGTCTATGTCGAGCTCGCAGAAGATGCCGTGGGCGACGGTAAGTACGTCGATGCCGTCGACCTCGCCGTCAGTGTGCTGGACACGCTGAGCGACCCCGCAAACAATGACTGCACGGTCTCGGGGCGCCCCATCCCGCACCTTGTGCTGGCTACGCTCGGCGTGCCGTTGCGTGACCTCGTGCCGGTGTTCGAGTCGAGCGCCCGGGCTGCGAGGGTGTGGCTGAAACTCATCAGCCGCAGCTGCACCGTCCACGCGCAGGAGCTGGCCGACGCCGAGACAGCCGACGAGTTGCGGTCTGCGCTTGACCGCGGCTTTGGCGCAGGAGCGGATCTGCTCGCCCCAGAGCCGTACCGGCGCGGCCGGGAGCGGCTGGAGGCGCTGGAGAAGGCCGAGAAGCGGCGCGAGCGGTGCGAGACGCCCTGCCGCCTACTGCCGCACACTCTCTGCCTTCCTCTCCGAACCACCGCCGCCTCTCTCCTCCCACCCCCCCCCACCTTGTTGCGCCACCCCCCCACCTTGTTGCGCCGCCCCCCGAGGTGCGAGACGCTCGGCCTCCGCATATCTCCCCATATCTCCCCATATCTCCCCATATCTCCCCATATCTCCCCCGAGGTGCGAGACGCTCGGCCTCCGCGCCGTGCTCACCCCCGACGAGTTCCTCTGCCCGATCAGCAAGGGTGCGATGCGCAGTCCTGCTTTGTAGCGGGGGGCGAGCGAGCTCCGAGATGGCGCGAGATGCCGCACGGCCGTAGGCGTGATGCGCGACCCCGTCGTCGCCTCGGACGGCCACTCCTACGAGCGCGTCGAGATCTCGCGCGTCCTGCAGATATACCCGAGCAGGAGCCCGCTGACGCGAGAGCGGCTGGGGCCGCACCTGTACCCGAACCGCGCGCTCCTTGCGCGCATCGCCAACCACGAGGTCGGGGTGCGGCCGGCGGGCTCGGCTGGGGGGCGACATCTCGCCGCCATCTCGGCGAGCTGCGAGCTTTAGGCGGAGGTCATCGACGGGCTCGAGGAGGCGATGCAGCTGGGCGCCGCGTCGGCGCAGGCGGCCTCGCCGCCCTCGGAGCACGGCGCGGTCGCTCCGTCGGGCGGGCGCAAGCGGCGCACGGCGGCGTCGCCAGGCACGCGCAGTGCGCAGAAGAAGGGCTGCCGCCCGAAGAAGGCGGCTTCGCGGTCGGGGGAGTGAGGCCGCTCGCGGGACGGCCCGCCGCGGGACTGAGGCGCGCGGCCGACTGCGCGAAGAGGGCCCGGCGACGGATGCACTGGGGCCCACACCAGCTGGGCCCTCAGACGTACTGCATTCTGCGTCGTGGGCCACGTACAGTAACTCTGCACTACGTTCCTTCGCCATATGTACAGCGAGAGTACTCGCGCGGCGTCGCACGTCGCACGTGCGCCGAGCCCCCCCGCGAGGTCTGAATCCGTGATCGGCTGATCGCGTGCATCTTGTCGCGCGCGGCCCGGGCCGTGCCCGACAACAACTTTTGTGTGCCTCTCGATACACGGTGGTACCCCTGCTGAATCACTTGTGTGTTGTAACTTCGGTGCGGCGCTCCGAGCGAGCAGAAGATACATACAACACAACACCGGGCAACGATGGTCCGCTCCGCCGCAACGACGAACGAGTAAAATGTGAGCGCTCGGGCCACGAATCACAAACCGACGACCCACTCTCCGCGCACCCGCGGGGAGATGAAGCGGGACGATGTGTGAACGTCGAGCTATAAGAGCCGTCTCGCGGCAGCCTGCGCCACTCAACCCCCCCGACCCCCCACCCTCCTCCTCTCAAGCCCTCCTCCCCGCGCAACGCCTCTCGCTAGCCCGCCCTCCCTACCCTCTCTCCTCCCCTCCGCGCCCGCGCGACGTGGCCGCCCAGTCGCATCCCGCCGCAAGCCGCAAGCCCGAGACGGCGGCCTCGCCCTCGAGCGGCCCGCCAGCGGCGCAGCCCAATAAGCTGGCAGCGCCGTCGGCTGCCGCTGCCGCCGGCTGCCGAGACGCGACTCTCGCCCCGGCGCCTCGGCGAGCGAGCTGCCGGCGGCGTGTGCGGGGAAGGCGGCTCACGCTGCCGAGCCAGCGCTGCCGAGCTCACTGCTGCGCACACTGCACCCGCTGGCCGCCCGGGCCGCCCTCCTCGTCCTCCTCGTCGAAGGTCCTCTCGGGCAGGTTCTCGAGGTACGACGTCAGCGGGTCGATGTCCTTGAGAGTCACCTCGTCCACGTCGTCGTCGCCTACAGGAAGGTTCCAGGAAAGGTCTAGGAAAGGTCTAGGAGAGAGTCAGCTCGTCCACGTCGTCGTCGCCCGGCTTGGCGGTGACGGTGTGCTTCGGCGGCGGCAGCAGCTTTG